ATTGAGATTTTTTTTCCCTCTCTATGCAACTGATTCTTAGAATATATTGCCTTTTCTTTTAGATCAAAGCATCAAAATTGTCTTTGATCTGTAACAGCAATGTAGTGCCAGCATTTACATCTAAAGTCAACCTATTTTTAATCACAGTTTTTTTTTTTTTATAATCTGAGTTTCCTTTTCCCTATGAAGCATAGACAGCTAGTGATAGTACAACTCTGAGAGCAGCAGCTCTGCTTTGTTTGGGAAGTAGTCTTCTTTGCTAATACAGGACATTAAAAATGCAAACAACACTGCTAGTCAATCAGGAAAACAGCATTGTGAATGTCAGGGCTGTGAGGGTACAAATTAGGGAATTAGTTTTTCCCTTAACAGAAGTATATCAACTAAGTAATTTGCTTTCTTTTAACTAGAGTTATCCCCTTCCATTAACTGGAGAAGTAAGTCCAAATTAAAAACCACTATTCATCAATTATTGCTTGGAGGCATGCTCAAGCCTTGTGTTAGGACCCAGGCAATAAAACTCATCAATTGCAGTTTTCATCATTGTTATCTCAGAGCTCTCAAAAGGAATAAATTGGGGTAGGGGGAAAATTGGGAACTCCTAGTTATTGCTGACATGATGGCAAATATTTCTGAGGTTTTTTCGTTCACTTAAAGCATTAAATTTTTCAGTGAATTTTAATTTTGTCCCTGTTCTCTGAATACTTGCTAAGCACTGCAAATACAGTGGCAAATATCATGCCATTATACCTATTCTTATACAGCTTATGTTCTAGAGGGAAGGAGATTTAATACACGAGAAATCATAATTACAGATGATGATGAGCACTTACTGGGATCTCTTCCTTAAGGAGATGACATTTAAGCTTCAACATAAAGGGTGACAGTCATGCATACTCCTCATAATACTCATCCCTCAAGGAGTATTTCATTAGCGACACTGTTTCCTAATCCTCCTCCTCCCTCCCTGGCCATTCCGACCTCAACTTTCACAGATTCACAAGCTCCTCAGAACTAAGTTTACGCACTTTTCTCATCTCACTCCCAAGTTCCTCTTCTAGGACAATCCATTCCACTTCTAGGACCTCGGAAGATATCTACATTTCACCACCTCCCAACATACTTTTCCAGCCCAGACCCCTTTTCCTAGCTCTGGGTCTACATGTCAACTGCCTATATGAAAACTTCACTTGAAGCCTTCCTAGGAATCCCAAATCTAACGTAGCAGATGCTAAAATAAAGATATTTCACTCCCAAATATTCTTCTCCTCTTGCAGTCTTCATCTATCTACACACAAACATGCATGCAGTAGCTGTATCACTAAGCAAGGAGTCAACTCTGACACTTGCTTCTTCCTCATCTCCCACATATAACTGGTAATTCAGCCCTGTCTAGTGAATAGTTAAGGTAGATCTTGAATTTCATCACATTTTCCCATCTCCCTTGCCATCAACTCTTGCTTGGAGACTATAAGCTTCTTACTCTTGCATCCATTCCTGCCCTCCTCCAATTCTTTGTCTTAAATGAAAAGCTTTTCAGATTACTCCCTGGTTTTAAAATTTAAATTCTTTCTTTGTTCTGAAGATCAAGTCTAAAATGGTTGAAATGGTTGAAGACTCTGCATGTTCCATCCACTGCCTCATCTCATGTCTGTCTTAGCACTATTCTCTATGCTTCAGTTACAGTGGACTTTTTTCAGTTTCTAAAATGAAAAGGACCTTCCTTAGGTGCCTGGGTAGCTCAGTCATTTAAGCATCTGACTTTGGCTCAGGTCGTGATCTCAGGGACTGGGATTGAGGCCTGAGTCGAGCCGTGTTGGGCTCTGTACTCAGTGGAGAGTCTGCTTGTCCCTCTGCTCCTCCTCCCCACTTGTGAACACGTACTCTCTCTCAAATAAATACGGTCTTTTAAAAAAATAAAGAATAAAAAATGAAATGAAATGAAATAAAAGAACCTTCCTTTCTTAAAAATTGCACATGTGCTGTTTCTTCCATGAAACATCTCAGGACTCGCTGCTATGTATTCTCTGAGTATTATACTCTTCTCTGTATCTGATAGGAGTGCATTTGGCTCCAAGAGACAGATTACCCAATGGAAGCAGTTTCAGCAATAAGGACACTTAATGACCTCATATCACAAAATGTTTGTAAGTAACCACTTCTAGGATTTGTGCAACATTTCAAAATCATTACTCAAGACCGAGACTTTTCCCCGTTCTGCTCTGCCATTTAGGTCATTGTCGTATGGTGACTAGGTGGCTATCAGAGTTCCACGCATCATGCTCTGACACAACTGCATTCAAGGTAGAAATAAGGGAAAAGATGCTCTCCTTTCGTATGTATTATCCCTAATTGCAAGTAAAACCTTGCTCAAGACCCTCATCATACTTCCTTTATACTATACTGACCATGTCATGTGGTGGCTCTTAGTGCAAGGGAGCCTAGTTAGATGGGTATCAAGGGAGAAGGGAAGGAGGTTGTAATGGCTGGAGAATATATGATCAACAGCAACTGACACATTCCTCGGACCACTTATCAAATTAATAATTAAAGAATTAAATAGGAACATTTTGTTCATCGTCTCCTCTGTAAGATGATGAGCTCTTTGACTACAGGGAATGCGTCTGCTTCATGAGCCCAGAATTAGCACAGCACCTGGCCTACACAGGAAGTCAGTTAGTGTTGGTTAGTGATGAATGAATGAGTATGAAAGAGAACAGGGGTAGAAAATAGGTACAAAAGAGAGAGAAAATTACCAACGCAAAACTGCTTGAGCTTATTGTCACATCTCATCTCTCATGGCTCAGCTCTCCATTCCGTTTAATTTTAAAACAATCTTTTATTTAAAAAAATGGCAACTTTTAAAAGTGTTCAATCCTTTGCACAATGCATACCATTTTCCTAACTTCTTAATTCCTGCCATATGAATCGACATGGGTATTATTTTTATTAAGATCCGGAGCTGAATTCTTTTAAAAAAATAAAATAAAATTGTCACCCCTGTAATAAAGTTAGATGATCCAGAAAATTTTGAATTGCCTCAAGTACATAAATGCAAATCAATTCTTGGCTGAATCACTCAAATATCATTCGACAAAAGAAATATATAAAAGCTAGAAAGTTATTTAAAAGAGTAGTCATAAAATTTTTGGTCTGAATTTTCCACTCCTAAGAACATCACACCAATAGATAAGGATGTCATTCAGATTGGCTTACTGGGAGGAAGGCAGATGTAGAATGCCTGGCACATAAAGGATGCTTGACATATTTTTGTTCTTATATCTAGAGCAAGGGAAAACCTGGGTTTATTCCTAACTCTGTCTTGTCCTAAATATGTAACTACGGGTAAGCTGAGGATGTTTCTTAGTTCACAAATGATATAGTAATCTTAAACTACCTTTCCATTATAAAATGAAGTCACAACCTAAAAAGTTAAATGCAAAAAAAAAAGTGGTGTTGATATAAGCCAACCTGATAAAATATTAAGGAATATATTTGTATTTCTGAAAGTGTCTCTACCTCTAAATGCAGAATCTGTTCATAGTTTCTGAAGGATACCAAAGGGGAGGAAGAAATTTTTCTTTGTCCTAGGTTCTTCTAGCTGGACAAAGAATTAAATTTACTTGAAGACAGACTAACAGGAAAAAAGACACCAAAGTTTTATGATATGCACATAGAGGCCAAATAATGAAATTGAGACCTAAACAAATGACCAAAGCTGTTTTTACACATTTTAGACAATGAGACAATACATTTGTGAGGAATGGATAGGATAAAGAAAACAGATGTGTGAGTTTTAATTAGTAAGGAATTCTAAGTGTAGTTTGGGCTGAGGTAGTGGATTAATGAAAAAGTAACAGGTTTGTTTCTAGAGCTTTCTTGGCTTTAACGTTTCTGTCTCTGGTGGTAGGATGCCTTCTTACTTCTTAGTACAGGGAAGGTATTTTTCATGCAGGAGATTTGTGTCCTGCTTTCAGGAGGACAGAGCGGGCTTGAGTGTCCTTGCACTGGCTGATTCCCAAGTAACTTCAATTCAAAATAATCAGTATGCCATTGGAGTACATTTTGGGCGGTCTGCCCTTAGTCCTTACAGTATTCCATTTGGACATCTCAAAACACAAAAGGCTCTGACATAAAATGTCACAATTCATTTTTAAAGAGAGTTGTAACTATCTGCACATGCAAGACTAGGTTTTAATTTTAAATATGGTTTTCATTTGAAATAAAATTCCTTAAAAAGAGAAAATGACTTTAGCATTGGCAAAGGGAGTCCCCTAAGAAAAAAATGTAAACAGATGGCTGAGAAAGATCACCCACATGCTGCACACATATCTTGAGGAGGCATTTCTAAGAATGAAGTGGCACTTCCCAGCCTGGGCCACTTCCCACAAGAATCCTTATTTTACCCAGAAAAAACACAAGGTTTATACCTGTGGCCAGGAGGAAACTCAGCAACTCTTTACAATTGCCCCACCATGATCCAGACTAGTTTCCAACTCCCCGCAATGCTCCAAAAGAAGCTAATAAATCAGTGTTCAGTGATCAGTCCTGAACTAACATCTTCCTGTATAAATGTGCTGTTAAGCCCGAGCTAAGCATATTAGGCATTCAATTTAATGTATGACACACATCTGTTCCACTTTCTCAGCAAGCAGAAGTTTCATGCTAACTTAAATCCCAGACTTAATCAAGGAGAACAAAATCTTGGCAATGTTTAAAACTGAGGTTTAAAATATAATCCAAATGAGGGCAAGAGAGACCATTTTTCTGTAACTAATGAGATTATTGAATACCTAAATCTAATCTGAAAAATGACCTAAGCAGAAACACTAGATTTTTTTATCTGAGCCTATTTATTTTTCCTTTCTAGGCCACCAACATTCGCCGAAGACCTTCATCTATATCTGTACCGAAGCACCAAAATGTAAGCAAAAAATGAACCCTCTGCAAACACAGTGGTTTAACCCCCATCCAAGCCCAAAGGCCAGAAGAGAACTCACAGATTTGTCTTTTACAAGGAGAGCACAGCACTGAATCCCAGCCATCAGCATCTTGTGGGGGTTCCAGGCCACAGAGTCAGCTCTGTTATGTAAAACAAAAAGGGCATGGGAAGGAGGGAATTTAATTAGTTTCTACTGGCCAGAGGAATACTTTCCTTTAGGAGCATAAGCATTCAACACTCATAGCCAAGTCCTCAACAGGATTACTTGTTTGAGTTGTTTGGGAAGCTTGGAGTTTTAAAGTAAAACAATTACTTCGTCTCTGTCCATTTCACATGTCACTTAAGTGTGCAAAATCCAGAGAGACTCCCTTGCCTAAACAAGAGGTGCTGGGCCCCAGAAAATGAATTTACCTGTGGATGCCATGCAGAAGCTTGCGGTGTTTTCTGGACATCAAAGCTGAGCCACCCCAAGAAGCCTGTTGAGATATTTATATAATCACAACAATGTTATTTCAATATTATTTGTTGGCCAGTCCGTTGTCATAGAAAACTCTGAGAGACAGCCTTGAGGTGCCTTACTTGATACTTTGCTTTAAACCGAGATTAAGCAATGTATATTCCAAAAGCTTTTGCTTACTGGCTCTCACTCCAGCGGGAGAGCAGAGCCTCTTCACAATAGATGGCCTCCCGCAGGATTTAAATTCACACATCACAAGGAAATTAGTATATTAACCTGTTGAGTTGTGTGTGGATAAAAAGTGATTCAGAAGACACAGTCCAACCCTTCTCTAATCTAGAATCTAAAATAGACAATATCTTTTGTTTTTATTTTTTAGGCTCATTATTGAAGTATAGCTGTCATGCAATGTTAAATTAGTTTCAAGTGTACAACACAGTAATTTGACGCTTCTATACAGTACCCCACACTCACCATGATAAGTGGAGTCCCCGTCTGTCACCATACATTGTTATTACAATATTATTGAGTATATTCCTTATGCTCTACTTTTGATCTGTGTGGTTTATTTACTTTATAACTGGAATTTTGTGCCTCTTGATCCCTTTCACCTATTTCAACCACCCTCTCCCCACCCACCTATATGGCAACCACCAGTTTGTTTTTTATATTTAAGAGTAAAATAGACCATATCCTTTGCAATGCTGGCATTGTCTCAGACACAACGGGCAAATGCTGGTAATGAAGCATGAGCTGAGGGTTGGCATTCCGAATAATAAATGTGGCTTATGCTTGACAGGGTGGTTAGAGGGGTACACAGGAACTCATGGCCAACTAGGAAGGGCTAGGTGGATCCTACTAATTAGATCTTTTTGGCCAAATAGCTTTCAGAAATAAGTGCAAATAAAAAATGCAAGAGTGGGAGAAAGGAAGCCTGGGACTTAGGAAAGATGTCCCCTGGAGACTTATGCATTATGAACAAAGGACAAGATGGCTGAGAATAGGAAATGGAAGGAAACCTCACAGTCAGGAAGTCTGGAGGGAAGGGAGGGAGAATTGCCACAAGTAATAAGGAAGTCAGTCTGGTCCCTGCAACTGAGCAGATTTCTAAGTGTTAATCTCTAGGTCGAGAAAGGGTCATGGCTGTGAGGGAATATGAAGGGATCAGCTTGGGCCGTGTTGAAAGCCTCCATGGTTATCAAAACCACACAACATTGCATTGGGAATGGAGACATTATTACCTCAAACTTTTAATGGAAAATCTAAGGCTCAGGGGTGGGAAATGAATTGTACAAGGTCTCACAGGCTCTAAGTATTAGATCTGGGAACCAAAGCCCATTCTTGCTTCAGGATAGCATCAAAGCTTAGGGTCAAATGGTAGAATACAGTGTGGGGAGCTGAGGGTGATGGAAGGAGGTGAGTCCAGGAGCTCACACACCATACTCCCATACCTTCCCATCTCCTGTAGCACCTCCGTCTCCTTTTCCTTCCTCAAAAGTAAACAAATGCTCCCTATCCTAATGAGCAGCATGGAAGTTTTAAAATCATGTGAACTCTTTTGAGGCATTAGCTTCCCAGTTTAGAGGAACTTGCAGGGTCAGGAACAGCTCCTCCACAGACTTAGTCCTCAAAAGAGCTGACAGGAGAAGAACCTCACAGCCCTGAGGGCAGTGCCCTACTTCTATTTGCCTCACTTTCTGAATTCCTAACCCTCAACTTGCAAAAACAGCAAAACAATTACCTAAATGTTGAAGAAGTGTGGTTTTTCACCTCAATGAGGGCCGTCATTTATCAAGCTAAGACTACCTGTTAGGTACCACACTTACCATCTTACTTAACATTGTCCTCTTTAGTTCATTAGTTAAGAAATTAATAGTAAGACCAAACCACACAGGGAAGTAGAGGCAAGCCCCTGACTTTAAATACAGTGTTTACTACCTCCCCGAGACTTGGAACTAAGAGTGGGTGAGACATTTCAAGACGCTCTACTGGGAGCGGGAAGCTTTGCAGCAGCCACACAACTTCTGCTTTGGAGAAGTGTCAGACCAGCTGGGACTTTCTAGTCTAGCTGGTCCGGCTCTTCTAGTCTGAGGCAGAGGCTGAGGTAACATTTGCCCTCCTGAAGAAATAGAAGACTAAAGTTTTCCTTATGTAGTTGCATAAAGATGCATTGTAATTAACCAAATATAAGCCTATCAAAAGTAAGAGTCGCCATTTTTTTGTGTACCACAAAGAAAGGGAAAAAAATGACCAACATACCAACTTCAGCTACCTTAATATGTAACAAAATCAGTGTATCTTAGAATTAATGAAATATGTTACATATGCAGGGCAACTTAATTTTATGAAACACCCAGGAGGATCAGCAACCATAATTACGTTAAAAAATAAAGTAGAGAAAAAATAAATAAATAAATAAATAAATAAATAAATAAATAAATAAAGTAGATGACAGTTTTTTATATTTTAAAGTATGTTATAGAAAATTTCCAACGGGCCAAGATAACTACTGCAATTTTGTTAATTTTTATCTTTAAAATTAATAAACTATACATCATGCATGTAATTTCTTCAAGATAAGCTATGTGCCCCTTTATCAAATTTTATCAAAAGATTCAATATTATTATGACAATATAATGTAATATTACATTATATCCAGCCTGTAATATTAAAACATGAGCGAATATTATCTCAATGTGAGATCTAATTTCTTTACCAGGTGAGACATACTGTTGTCCAATTTTGTCTAATACAACAAGATGCCTACTATGTGCAAATTGAATAATTTGTGTGGCTTAAACATTTCCTTATAAAAGTGTTTCCTTAAAAAATTCAACCTCTGTTTTTTTCTTTTTTTTTTTTAGAAAATCTAAGCAGGTTCTCATTCATACATACAAGTTGCAATTCTCTCTGAGCCTCTCTTAAGTCTCTTAATCTCACTCCCAATTTAGAAACTGCTGTATTTTCTCTGCTTTACATAAACTATATAATTCATATTTGATGTTTCTTTTATGAGAATAGAATGTTTAAGTATAACCGCTGACATATTTGATTTTCCCCCTTATTTCCATAGTCACAAAGTACTCATTTTATATTATCTTTTAGGACATAATGTATTATTATGCTCCGAAGTCTATAAAAATCAATAAGATAAAAGTTGAAATGTGAACAGATACAAATGCTACAATCCCATTTAAAGTCACAAATAATCTACCTGAAGAATTGCCACTGGCATACTAATAGAGCCTGTAACTCTAGTGAGCTTTATATCACAGCTGCTTTTACCAAGTATTAGCATATGCTTAATGAAGGCCTTGAGCTGCTGAAAAATTCTCTCTGTTATACAGACACTTTACTTTGAATGCATAAGATCATACAAACTATAAAACTATGTGTAGGTATATCCCCCAAATGCTGTTACCTTCCATTCAGAAAGTCAAAAAGAGCAGTTTTTTTTTTGTTGTTGTTGTTGGTTTTTTTTAATGCTAAGGAGAATATGAATCACTCACTTACCAGAAGAAAGTTCCCTACAGTATCATCAGTAAGTTCAATAGTCTCCTCTATTTATTTGGTTAAATCAAACTAATTAACTCCCAGCTTTACCAAAAAAAAAAAAAAAGAAAGAAAGAAAGAAAGAAAGAAAAGAAAGAAGGAAAGAAAGAAAGAAAGAAAGAAAGAAAGAAAGAAAGAAAGAAAGAAAGAAAAGAAAAGAAAAGAAAAGAAAGAAAAGAGAAAAGAAAAAGGGGAAAGCTCAATAGGCATTCATAACTGTCTGAATTCAGATTTTTAACCCTGGATTAGTAGAATTTGAAGAGTTACCTTTAATTAAGGAAAATTTTATTACGAACAACTCCAGGACTTACAAAATTAATTAGAAAAAAAAAAGCCAATTCTTTAAGTCAGAAAATAATGAAGAATGTAAGTTATCCCAATTCTTCTCAAATAATTATCTATGATGGATCCAGATAAAATCTACTTTAACTATAGCATGAAATTATGTAACACAGCTTTTTGCATTTTCCAACTGATTGGAATCATGTAATGTCAGAGCTAGAAGATGTTTTACAGACCACATCAGCCACTTCCCTCTTTGTAAATGAAACCAAAGCCCAAATGGCCAGGGTTGCAATGAAGAAGAGGCTGACTGGAGCCCAAAGGCAAAGCCTCTTGATTTTGTAGTTCAGTGTGTCCCTCACACCATACTGCCTCAATGACCGTAGGAGCAAGGGACCAAAGAGAATAGTTCATGAGAGAAGAGGAAATAAAATGGAATCTGAAAAACAAAACCAAACTTTACATCAAATCCGGCATCGTCTTCTTTATTACCTTATGGAAAATGACAGATTTATTTCTCCTAATTAGAAACACTACACTTAAATAAGAGGAGCTGGGGACCTCATGTCTAGTTTCTGAGAACACAAAACACTTCCTACCAAAGCTGCAAACAGACTGGAAAGTTAAACCGATTGTACATTCAAATGCACTTACGTCCACATGAAGCCAGAGGCCATGCTTCTCACAGATGTCTGCTATTTCATCCAGAGGATCAAAGGCCCCCAACACAGTTGTACCAGACGTAGCACAGACCAGAAATGGAGCTGCTCCCTGTGAGGAGGACGCACATACAAGAACCATCACCATCACCACTAAGTTGGTCTATAATAGGTTGGTAAACATAATGCTTACACATCCAGTAATTTATCTGGTTGCCTTTGGAGGTAACCATTCAGACAGAGTGTTGTTCAGCTTCTCCAGAATATATCCTCTAGTCATTTCCAAGAAGTCAAGGAAACTGAGACAGTGTTAGGACAAGTCCTTTGTCTCAGCTCCAATATGCACTGTTAACTGTTTTTACTCTCATTTTCTTTCCGAAGGTTTTCTGTTCTTTAGATTTCCCACATAGAAAGTGAATAACCTCCACTGCAATGGCCAACTGGCCTTCCTTGTGATTCCTACGTCCTTTTGGGGGTGATTCACTGACGCCCGTGTGCCAGCATTGCTAAGCCTCTGCGAAAGAAAAACAAGGACGATGGGAAAATAAACAGTTCCAGGTGCAAACCACGGAGGCCTGTCTGCCTATCTCCTTATCAAGTAAGTGCAATTACAAAACAGTGTGATTAGGCACAAATTGGCATTAGAGAGGACAGAGTAACCTCGTTGGGATACACTCTCCAAACTGGGTGCCCCCATAAGGAATCCTTTAGAATGTGCTAGAAAAGAGAACCTGCATGACTCCTACCATGATTCTGCCTCTTCATACAACTGATGGTCGCATCTTGTAAAGTAACGGGTGCCAGAGGGCACGGGGGATGGAGAAGGGAGACTGTGGAACACATGCAGAGCTGGATGGTAATTCTGGCCGAGCTAGCCTAGCACGTTGGCCCCATAAGGAACTTTATAGCAGCCAGATGCATTGCTCACCTTGGAAGCGCCTCGGAGGGTGAATTTGCAGACAAAGGTAGGGGTGGGGAGAGCAATGAGAATCCTAAGACTTCAGAGCACTTGAGGAATAAGTGACAAGAACATTTCCCTGTCTATAAAGTCATTTTATCTCCATTTAGGATGGAGTCAGTTTGTTTTCTTGGTTTTATCTTAAAGTGCAGTTGTTCTTGCAATATATTTTTATGTCCCATTTAATGTCAGGAGTTATGCCTTTTGAACCAGACTCCTTCCAATTTAGCTGCCCTTTGACAGAAAGAAGTTATTTCTCAGTGGAAAGTGGAGCAGAGCAAAGACACTTGCTCTACATTTTTAAACTGAGAGGCATAGGAAACAAAGCGATGGTACCCAATGAATTCATTTGCCATCTATGGAGATGGTTGTGACACATGGGATCCAGTCCACCCGAACCTGTTAGAACAGGACCAGTGGGTGATAGAGCCCCTAAAGAACCATGGGCTTTGGGAATTTTTCCCTGTGCTCAACTACCAACAGATTGCATCTTTATCATGTCAGTGACCTAAACAAAATGAGACCAGATTCACATCAATCGTTAAAAGTAAGAGAAAAAAGTAATTTCCTAAAAACATTGAAGGTGTCTTTAATGTTTGGACTGTTCCTCATAAGCTATGTGACACCCTGACAACTGTGAGAAGATACTTTTGCAAGCCATTACAGCCTATTAATGAGTTTTCCTCACCTTTTTAACAATCTAGCTATAAATATCAGGCCCAGAAATCAAACTTTTGCAATCCGGACTTAACCTTCCAATTTTTTTCTCCTTTCTCATATCTCCTGCTATTAATGAGAAAATTCAGTGTAAAGGGTATTGATTGTGTGCTGCTGATGAGCTGTATTCCCTAAGAAAGTTTGTCACTTGAAACACTCAACAAAAATACTTTCAAATATTCAGTGGTTATAGGAGTCTGATCTTTTCATGAGAACTGTAGAACCTCTGACACTTCTGTGGTTTTCACCATCTTTGTAATGGCATCAAGTAAAGGTCACTGCTCAACAGATTTTTAATGGGTTGTGGTGGGCCAGAGAACTGAATCCCAGAAAAAAAAAATTGATGTGCCATCCCCAAATCTGTAACAATATGAGTTCAAAGTTTAAAACAATAAAGCTGGGTCTGAAGCTACTGAAAACAAACAAAACTAATCACCAAGTATTATCTCAGAATGGATACAAGGTTTGTCCTTGGTGAATCCAGGCTCAAGTTTTAACTAACTTGAAAGAAAACTGAGGAGACATACCAACTCTCACCCCATGGCCCTACTTTTAAAAATGCCTAAAGCAATTTTCACGTTTTCAAAACTTCTCTTCTCAAATTCTCAACTTTAGGATATGTCAGTTTCATGTACTTTCCCAGTCAAAACAAACAAAAATTTGAACAATGAAAATAACAATGACTGCAGTGGAATAACATCCATCAAATATCCTAGTCTACCCCTAATGATTCTAAAAAAGAAAAATTGTTTCGGCTATCTTTAGGGGATGCTAGGCAACTAACTCACTATTCTGAAAACTCATAAACGAGGGAGAAGAATCATACATTTATCCTGCCCTGGATGTGCAAATGGTTTCCTTAGGGAAACAAAATGGGAATGAGGAAAGGTTTTTCTTTACGGTAGTGAGCCTACCAATAAATAAAGGAGGAACAAGAGAACAGGTTAGAAGAACATCACCTGATGAAATAATAGGTCTAAACAATGATCACCAATGGCAGCAAAATTCATGAGGTGAGAGGCTGATGCAGAGCTCTGTAATAGATGGATCCGTAATACCAGAACCCATGGATCAACATTAGCACAAAAAGAGACTGGAGATGTGTTCTCATTGAAGGACAAAACACCACCTGTAAAGCCTTCCTGGTAAAAGTTCAAATCTGAATTTCACTAAGTCTCAAGATCTCACTGCCAAATTACAGAAAATATAGAGAACAGATGGACTGTACTGGGGAGGGAGCACTTAGACCCTCCAGTTCTTGATGTGATCTCCAAAATCCACAACGTGGAAAACTCTACAGGATAAAGGACTTGGTTTCTTCAACAGATCAATTGCTGGGAGAGAAAAAAGGAGGAGGGAGAAGCTACAGATTAGAAAAGATTGGTATGATGAATCAACCAAATGCAACATATGGACCTTGAATCCTTATTCAAACGAGCCAACTATTAAAAAAGTGCAATAGGAAAAAATTTAATATAGAATGAAAATTTGATGATACTAAGAAACTATTTCCTGTAATGGTGTGTGGGTTTTCTTTTTTTTTTAATAAAGAGAGAATACATACCTTTTGCAGATATACTGAACTATTTATAGATGAAATGGCATGATGTGTGAGATCTGCTTCAAACTAATCTAATGATGGTGGGAGGGGATAGGGTTTAGACAGAACAGAGCAGAAACAGAACAGAGCATAATAAGCTCACAGATGTTGAAGTTGCATGATGGGTATAAAGAGGCTCATTATATTAGTTCTTATATATTTTAAATTTCCCATAATGAAAAGTTTATGATTAAAGAAAGAAAGAGGGAAAAAGAGAGGGGGAAGGGAAGCAGGAAGGAATCATATGAATCATATGAATCATATAATCATATGAACCATACAGAAAGCATAATCAATATTCTCCCCCCAACAAGCACTAATGACATAAACAAAGTTCTCTTTGATAGGAACTTCTGTAGAAGATATAACTAGGGGGGGAGAAAAAAGATAAAATTAGAACACAATATCCGTGGTTTACAGCAGAACAAACAAGTTGTAATAAAGAATTTTACCCAAGAGTGAATGAAATCTGATAATCTGTCTCACCAGACAGCTTTCAAGTCCCCTTGTCATTGGAATTAAAAAAAGAACAAAGATAAATATAGATCTAAGGACACACAGCTGAAGCCGGTACACCTGCAAAAAAGGCAGAATTTTTAAGTACAGAATTTCAAACCAAATATGGTGAACTAGCGTGCCCTGGTGATAAGGTTATTTTCATGAAAATTTAAAAAATATAAAGAGTAAAATCACAGAAATGTATTAAACAAAAAAATAAAAATTAAAGAGCCTATCGTTCTTAGAGCGTGAAATCCTGTAAAGAAGAAATATGCTTCTATTCCAGCTCAAACCTGGGCTTTTCAGTTTCCAGCAGTTTCACACTCAACTCTGCTGCTACCTACTGGAAGCTTTTGGCTGAGGCTCCAACTACGGGGAGAGCTGTGGTGGATGGGAGGGAAGCGGTGAAGCAGGTGCACCTAATCCAACCGGCTTTTGGCCCAAGAAGCAAGATGGCTGCCACCAAGGCACCGGTGCACCCACAAAGCAGGGGTCAGGGCCAGCCTCGCCTGGAGCATAGCAGGTAAGCAGGACAAGGCCTCACCTTCTCCACCAATGAGCACATCAGCTTTACTATATCGTGGAAGCTAAGAAAGAAAGGACACCTGCCAGAGCTAAAATACCAGACCCAGACGTAATACAGTGTGATGGTCTCCGTGATGGGCTTGGGTGGAAGCAACCTGGGAGGTGAGATTGATCAGGAAATCCAAATCATTCTGAATGCGACCCAGGCAGGATTGGTCTGGCCTCCAGAATCCTCAGTCACTAGTTAGGTAGGAGGGTGGATGCAGGGGCCCTGCTGGCGAGGCTGGGCTCATCTTTTAAGGCTAATTCTAGGCAAGAATCCGGGATATGGTGATGTCAGTGTTTTAACAGGCTCCAGCCACCTGGGAATGGGAACATCTGAGAAACTGCACAGAACATGGAGAGCCAAGCACCTGGAAATAGAACATCTGTAAATGAGTTTCCCTATTTTAATTCTAACAAGCTCTCTTCTCTCTCCCACACACAGAAACAGGTCTGACTGCTTGTGTTCCCTCCCTCATACCCAGACACAGCCTACGTTTCCTTTGCCTTTTTTTCTCCCGCTCTCACCTCTTTGCTGGCTTGCCAGATTTGCTTCTCCAGTTCTGCAGGTATCATTTTACCTCTAGGAGACACAGATTGGAGACGTTCAGTTATGTTTAGTCGTGAGCAGACATTGGGACTGCTTTTTAAAAAAGTATGCATTCCCCCTCCGCCCACCAGGCTTCCGGATCCTGTCCCCATTACCTTCCATCTGTTTCCACAAAGCAAACATTCTCTGTACCGATCCCAAGAAAGGAGGCTGCTTTCTTCATAGAGTAATGACACTAAATTAAAAGGGTTGAGGGGGAAAAGGAAAACATGAATGCATAACATGAAAAAACTACTGCTTGTTAATCTAAAGTCATACGAAAAAAAATAAAGTCATATGATTGAGCCCAATCTTTGCAACATTATCACATAAGAGAAAAAGAAAGTAATGATTCACACGAGCTCCGTGAGATAGTGGTTAAAAACCCTGACTTTGGTTGGGATGAGGGAAATCAGGATTTAATTCCAAACTCTCCCAGTTACAGCTATGGAATCTTGAGGAAACAGCGTATGCTTTCCAAGCCTCAATTTGCTCACTTAAAGGGGATGTGTCAGTGCCTAATTCATCTGCTTTTTGTAGAATTAAAATCAGCTAATATATGTAAAGGACTTAGCACAGAGCCTATCCTAGGAAACAAGTTTAGTCACTGGAGGCTTTCGTTTTTCCAAAAGGTTGAGAGAAGTTGCTCTCGATGCTGCCAATAAGATGCAGCCAATAAGACTCAATATTAACGGAAACAATCTAGTCCACTGCCAACTCAAAACCTTATGAAGAGTGAGCAAGACTCTGCTTCAAAAACTGCAATCGCAAACCACAGAAGAAAGATTTTCAAGAGCCAACGGTGAGTTATGAATGCTGATCAAACACTTGACCAATCTTGTTTAAAATTGAATGTAAAATTGAAATTAGACACATAGGGCGGCCCAGGTGGCTCAGCGGTTTAGCACCACCTTCAGCCCAGGGCCTGATCCTGGAGCCCCAGGATCGAATCCCACGTCCGTCCGGCTCCCTGCATGGAGCCTGCTTCTCCCTCTGCCTGTGTCTCTGCCTCTCTCTCTCTCTGTGGCTCTTGTGAATAAATAAATAAAATCTTTAAAACAAACAAACAAACAAAAAGAAATGAGACACATAGGAATGTGGCTAAAATCATAATAACAAAAAGTAATAATAATTTATGGACACCTCACTTTATGCAGCCTTGGCATGCATGAAGCTAATAGGAAGATCTAGAATTAGGTCTGGTCTATTTCTTATTGGAAATGGTAGTGTAGGCTTTAGATCGTTGGGTCTTTTTTTCCCCCTGCTACATAAAGCCTATAAAATAATTAGCATTCAAACATTGGAGATGTCACTCTTTATACACTAGTGTGGACAGGTGGTCAATTAATTCTTTTTCGTGCCAGAAAAATGAAGGTGCTAAAGGACATTATTGTACCAAAAACCCTTAGTAATTTAATTTGTAGGTATGAATACATTAAAAGAGTAGTCATGCCTTCACACTTAACTTGATATATTACCCCAAATGTGGTAATTTTTTTCTTCTTTTGTCAAGAGAGTTTTATTGGAAGCTCTTTTTTTTTAACTCTGTAAAAATAAATGCAGAAGTAACACCATCAGGAGAAATGAAACCATCCTAAATAATTAATTTCCAAGTATCAAATAGGACACGGCCAAATGCATGTAGGATGCATTTATTTCAAATTGTTACAGGAACGTATGCATATTGAAGAGTAATAATGTACACGAAAATGTAATTAATTCTCTACTTGCGACATCAGCCCACCATAGCTAGGGTGACATAACCAAGGTGAATTATTTCTCACCAGAGATTTGGGCTCTGGCAACCAACTATTAATCTCATAATGAATAAATAGTAGCCTACCCCCCTGGCATCTGCCAATAAGGAAAATCACATTGCTTTGCCCTGAAAAACAGCCAAGTGTCCCCATCCAATGTGTCTATTGAATTAAAAAACTGGTAATCTGAAGAAAAGCTTCAGTGGAGCTATCTTTGGCTACCTCAGGGCAAAGTAGAGTCCAATGTCAATCTCAAATGCATAGGGACAGATAAAATAAAAGTCTGCAAAACCAAAGTATAAACATCTGAAGGCATCAGAGGAGGAAAAGAGCCCTGGAAGTGCAAAAGAAGAAGAAGAAGAAGAAGAAGAAGAAGAAGAAGAAGAAGAAGAAGAAGAAGAAGAAGAAGAAGAAGAAGAAAGAAGAAGAAGAAGAAGAAGAAGAAGAAGAAGAAGAAGAAGAAGAAGAAGAAGGAGGAGGAGGAGGACAGAGGCAATGCTTCAGACATGCTGAGTACTTTCAAGGAAGGGAAAACCCTAGAAGGCCAGAGTTCAGAAGTAACCACTGCCTTTAAAAACAAAAATATTTGGGATCCCTGGGTGGCGCAGCGGTTTGGCGCCTGCCTTTGGCCTGGGGCACGATCCTGGAGATCCGGGATCGAATCCCACGTCGGGCTCCCCGCATGGAGCCTGTTTCTCCCTCTGCCTGTGTCTCTGCCTCTGTCTCTCTCTGTGTGACTATCATGAATAAATAAATAAAATCTTTAAAAAAAAATATTTGCTCCCATCTCTGGTGAAAGGTAAGTCAGTCATTTGTTCTAATATCCCATCTCCCTTCCCCCCGAAACCCCACCCAGGTTTCATTCATCTACAGAAGACACAAAAATCCCAGTGGGCATTTATTTCTATAATGATACAGCAGCAAGTGCTCTCTGAAAGACAGAAGTGCCCTGGCATTTGCCTTTCTGATTCCAACAAGCATTTTTTTTCTGTGACCTTGGGTTTCTCAAGGAACTGTTGCTTTCCCTTCCACAGGTTGTATGCTGGACACTCAGGATCCTTCTAGTGCTGACTAGTCTGGTGCTCAAATGAGCTCCAGGTGGTGGGGAAACCGGGGGTCTGTGAATGTCATACATTGGGGAATGGAGAAAAGCAATGCAGTATAGGGACCTCTCCAAGAGCACATAGCTGGTTCAATTCCTAAAGCAGAGTCGCAATTCAGATGGGCTTCTCTTATGCTCTGCTGACGTCCTAAGAAGCATCTGCTGGCCTGTGGAGAATGCTTGCAATAGCATCCAAACTCCTGTCAGACCCACCTAAACAGAATAGGGTAAGTGAATGAGGTACGTGAGGAACCATGACCAGGAGAAGCGTACCCTGGTCTCTCTCACCTCACCCAAGCCTCCATCCTGCTAGACAGGAAGTAAGCTGATTGCTGGCTGGCTGGGAAGTAAGGGTTTCTCTTCTCCACTCACTTGTTAGTAACAGTCAATCATTACTTATGCCAATTCCCCGAATGACGTGAATTATAAACCTATGATTTCCATAAATTCAAGGAAGTCATATCTAACTGCTAATCAAGCCACAGATTTATTACTTTTATTGCTTTTCTCCAAAAGTCCTTTCACTTTGGTTCCTACTCAGTCTGGGGGCATCTACTGTAGGTACACTTGACAGAGCAGGGGTTCTATCATGATGTTCCAGGTCTTGGCCGAGAGTGAACTTACAATCAAAACCTCAAATATGCAAATATACCTCCAGTGGTGAGTGCATATACCCTGCATTCGATGACACAAGACAGGGATGGAATGGTTATCCTCACGCCTAAAAGCAAACAAGGGAGGTATAGCAAAAAGAGTGACGTAGGGTTTAAACCCTTTGAGGAAACACACCTTCTTTAATAATTTTTTTTAACCGATGAAATGGTTTGTTATAATAAGTGGTGAAGGTGATCACCAAAATAGGAGCTAAAATGATGCAAATGCTATGACTTTAGTCTCTTTGGCTGAGTAGGGAAAGGAAGGAGCAACAAGGTAGAGTCTGGATGAATGGGGTGAAAATCTGTATTTGGAACTATAGTGTGTTCAGAGCTATGGAGTTTTACTGTGGAATTTGCATTGTTATGAGCCCAGTGCTTAACAAAAAAATTACCTTCAAAATTCCCGTGTTTACTCCCTAACCCCCAATACAATTGGATTAGGTTGGGATGAGGTCATGAGGGCAAGACTCTCATGATTCCTGGCCTTATAGGGAGAGAAGGCAGGGACCTCTCCTTCTGTCCACCAGCACAAGCCAAGGAAAGATCACATGAGCACACGGTGGTCCACAAACCAGGAAGCGGGCTCTCACCAGACACCACGTCTACCATCACCTTGACTTTGGACTTCCCAGCCTCCAGAACTGCGAGGAATAAATGTTGTTTGTTTATGCCAGCTGGTCTACGATATTTTGTTATAGCAGCCTGAGTAAACTAAGATGTCTATCTAGTTCTTGGTTTTTCTGGCTCCATCTTCAGCTGGCATGTTAGTCACAGCACATTTTACCTCTTTTTGCTAAAATATCTCCACTGGAGATTTAAAGAAAAACAATAGTTCTGTTTTCCCAACTGCATGAGGTTTCCATTTCTTTTCACTCCCAATCTGGCCAGCTACACCTGTGTCACTGATCTGTCCCATGCATAATCTTTATACTAGGCTTCCATAGAATTCCTTCCCCTTTTCTGGAGCAAGTATTCCAGAAAAGAGCTCTAGTATGTTTTAAACCAGAGAATGAAGAAGGCAAAAGTGAAAGCACTGAGCTGATAGCAGAGGCCCTACCAAATCAGCTTTCACAGGCATGGAAATAGCAATTCAAAAGAAGGAACTTTGCATTTCTGATATGCTGGCTTCCACCAATGGAAATGCTCAAGTGGAACCTTGGAATCCAGAGAAGGAAACTCAACTCTATAATAATTTCAAAGAACCAAGTGTTTTTCCCCAGATGTCTACATTCCCAAACATTCTGCTTGCTACAGAAGAAGCTTTCATGAAGAAGGGCCTTGAGTGGCTGAGTTAAGAATCTCAGATTAGATGATTCCTTCTAGACACCTCGCACAGCCAGCGCCCACTTTGCACTTGGCACTGAACTAACCAGGGCAAAGGGAAGCCAGGGCAGGTAGAAGACATGGGAGGTGGCCAGGTTTTCTCCCACTGCCTACCACTTACTCCACAATATACGCTTCTGCAACAACAAAGTAACTCCTGCTCTTCTAGGGAAATAACAGATACAGAAAGGCCCAACTGGAAATAACAGAGAACTTTTAGATGCTGCCTGTGTTTCACAGGAGTTCCTGGATTATCATAGAAGGTACAGAAGCTCAGCTCTTACTGCCAGGAGGCCAGGAAGAAGCAATGGTGGGTTGGACAGAGCCACCCACTGGAATCGCACAAGAAGAGAAAAGGAAAAAAAATATCTTTTAGTTAAGACTGCCCTTCAGCTGTGCTCGTCTATTCTACCCATATTACTATAGCTAGGTAATTCTCCTCCTAGTAGTAAAACTAGCTAACATTTTTGTGTATCTATAATGTGCCAGATGCTGCTTTACATGCATTAACTCATTCAGTCTCTGCAACAACCCACTTAGCCGTGACTACTAAGCTCATGTGGCTGCTGGGTTGCTATGATGTCCCCAAATTGTTGACTTCTCCCTGTATCCATGCCCTTTGCAAGGTGACTTTGCAGCAAGTCTCCTCAAGAGATAGAGTCTGGGGGGATCCCTGGGTGGCTCAGTGGTTCAGTGCCTGTCTTCAGCCCAGGGCATGATCTTGGAGACCCGGGATCGAGTCCCACATCGGGCTCCCTGTATGGAGCCTGCTTCTCCCTCTGCCTGTGTCTCTGCCATTCTCTCTTTCTCTGTGTGTCTTTCATGAATAAATAAATAGACTCTTAAAAAAAAAGAGAGAGAGAGATAAAGTCTGTTTCCAACTTCTTAGATCTGGGCTCCTTGACATCACTTACTTCACTAAGAAAATGAGGCAGAAATGACAATGAGCCAGTTCTAAGCCTAGACTCAAGAGGCCTGGTAGGTTTCCATGCTGTTTGTCCCCTGGATCCCTGTCATCACTACACACCTGGACTAGCCTGTTGAAGGATGAGAGATACACGGAGCAGAGAGAACTTCCTGAAATCATCTCTGTAAGCCTAGTCCCAGATCAGCCAGCGGATGGCAACCCCCAGATATATAATGGAGCCCAGCCAAGAGCTGCAGAAGGGTCCTGGCTGTCCCAAGACTCGTAAGCAATGATATCTAGCTATAGTTCTACACCATTGAGCTTTGGGATAATTCATTAGATACACCAGTTAACTGATGATTATTTTAACAAATTAGGAAATGGAGGCACAAAGGATTTTATCAACTTACCCAAGGTCACTCAGATAGTAGTGGAGTAGTAGTGGAGACAAGAATTGAAGGCAAGCAGCCTAGCTCGAAGCCACAATCAGACCGCCTACTTTGGTGTAGGGTAAAAGGACATAAGGCATTGTGGCATGGAATCATGTGTGTGTGGGGGGGAGGGGTAATATTCACTGTTTCTGAATATCTCCCTTTCCTCTTGAAAAGCCTTTGTGTTAGCCATTCAAAGTAATCAGTTATACAAGGCAATGTGAGTCTTCTGACAGCGCTGAGTGATCATCTATGTTCTAATAAATAAGACACTCAGAGAAGAGATTCACAGAAAGAGATAACACTTTCAAATTGAATGTTCTCTTTTCTCAAAGAAAAATGTCATAGACTCTAAATTTTAAATAAAGGTGATGTACAAAATTGAGTGGTCAGGGGTTACAGTATCAAACCCATCAGAATTTCCTTGGAAATGAAATATGGTGTTATACTCAGGCATATTAGTCACACATGGATAGGACCAAAGTGTATCAGAAGCCCCCCCTCCACACACACACACAAACCCCCTTAAATAATGCATTATCTAGATCTGATATCAAAAATAATTTTTTACCTCCGCGGATGTGAAAAGGATTAATCTTGGCAACCCAGACAGCCCCTTTTCCTTAATATCGGGACAATATTTGTATCTAGCTAAATTCATTGCATACATATTGGACACCGAACCACCTGCAAAAAACAAAATTGAAATGACATATTTAGAGTGTGAAATTATAGCTCCCTAAAGGCTGACCACGGGGGAAGACATTAAAGGCTACAGCTGCTCTAGTCTAATGACATATCCCCCCAGGAGCCATCTGAGCACCATGCCCCACCCATGACTCTTGCACACTTCCTGACCCCCAACTGCAGCAATTTCTAATCTCAGCAAAGACCAAAGTTTGGGTCTATTCTTTCATTCCAGAGCTTTTCCAAACTAAAAATTTCAATCTATGGGCAAGGGCCAGTACCCAAGTCTTCATAGTTAACAATTTGTCCCCTGACCAATAAAATGACAATACATGCTCATCTCTGTCCCAAGAAAGGACTGTAGGATGAACAACATGTGATTCAGAAACCTTCTCAAGTAAAATTGATTAAAAACCTTGTAGCCCTTCCCAATTTCCAGCAATAGATAATTTCATTTGTTAGGTATAAGTCCTAAATTGTAGACATCTCATTGGCTTAACATTTATGTCGGCTGTTGAGCATGTATGCAAAATGTTGTCTCTCCAGAGAAAGGAACAAGCTAGATTTTCAACAAATAGCATTATTTTTATCTGACTTTTTTGGAATGTGCAAATCTTCAAGGAGTTGTTCCTCATATAACACATGAATAAATGTTTAGGTGTTTGCAGTGCAAGGGAGATGGCAATAACTAGCTGTACTTACCTGGGTTAAATATTCCATCCCCTTCTTTCCAGCCAATAAATTCAATCATTTTCTTCAGAACCGCTTCTTCCACTAACAGAAACACTGGGGACACCTCATACGTATAACTAGATAGATATAAAAAACACTTCACTTCTATGACTAGAGTCAAACCATCCCTTTGGGGTCCCAAGAAATGTACATAGAGTTTTATTCAACCAAGTGGCTATGGAAGTACAGGTAGAGTTTTTGGAAATTTATCCAATTGGAAATAGAGAAATGTGCAGTCAGTGACAGTGCTGGTCATGGTTTGATAAATGCAATTAGCTGGCATGATGGCCTATAGCTGGCTGGTGGCCTTAGGGATACGCAAGCTACTTCAGCAATCATAATTTACAGGAACCCTTCAGTTCCCCTGAGAGAGATAAAAGCAGTGCATCTAGATTTCTTAATATTAGTCATGAGCAGTGACCATTTCATTCTTTGGATACTGCTTTGGGTGCCTTTAAAGAAAAACCATTATTGGGTGTCTGGGTGGCTCAGCTAGTTAAGTGTCTGCCTTTGGCTCAGGTCATGATCTGGGGATCCTGAGATTGAGCCCTGTGTCAGGCTCCCTTCTCAGTGGGGAGTCTGCTTCTTTCTCTCTCCCTCTATCCCTCTCCCCAGCTTGTGCACTCGCTCTCTCTCTCTCTCTCTGTCAAATAAATAAATAAATAAATAAATAAATAAATAAATAAATAAATTCTTTAAAAAACTATTGTCATGGTAACTAGGTTTTCTTAGGTTACTACCATGAGTACTCTAGCAATCAGCTCTAGTTATTCTACAGGGAAACTACTCATCCTGAGCTAGGGTTTTCTCCACTACATGACTGTGTTTCCACAAATGGGAAGTGCTCTGTGGGATTTCTCTTATCATGTGATGATTTTATTGCAAAGGACTACCCAAATCCTTTGTCACTGAAGGCTTTGTTTCTCCAGGCTGGACTGCTGTTGTCAGAGAACACTAATTTAGCCCTTTTGGGAATTGCCTCAGGGGCATGGAGCCATCTTTCCCAAGGTCACAACCTTTCTTCTTATAATTGGTCTAGCTGGAGGTATAAAGGCCTGGCCATATAGCCCCAACTCCAGACTGCTCTTAAGGGCCACTGTAACTCCAGAGACCACCATGAAGTCAGCCAATCTGTCTGTCTCTGCCCACTCCTGCTGCCTTCCCCCCATCACTCATGCTGATCCCAAGGGCATTCTTAATAAACACTCTGCTCACCAAACTCCATTTAGAGAAGATTCCCAGGGAACCCCACCTGGGAGGGTTACCATGCCTTGTTTCATAATATTTGAGCCTCTTCTTTCTCCAGATAACTTGAGGGTGACTAAATTATCTATAATTTCCTTCTCTAACAATTAGGCCATTACATTAAAGTGTATCTAAACAAATGTGTACTCCAAATATGTAAGCTAGCCAGATACACTTAAATTTACAGTCATAGAATTTAATGCAAATATTTTAACAACCTGAAGGGAAAACTTTGGAAACAAGGGGAAACAAAAGCACAAAATGATATAAAACAAAACAACAGAACACCTACTATGTGTCACCTCCCTACTTCCCTACATGCCAAGCACTCTACAGACATCATGTCGTTTTGCAAACAATCCAGGTTCTATTTTCAACCATGCCTGGAAGCCAGTTCACACATATCAAAAGTGTGGGGGAAAAAGTATATATGTTTATGTGCACCTGCAACTATAAATGAAATAATCATTCACTTTTTAAAAAAATTAATATTAAGCCTGCCTTAAAAACTGTAGGCTCAACTGTAAACCTGGGGATAGCCATAGAGGTGGAGAAGAGGACAATATGGAATGCTCTTGCGGCTTGCTCACATTTTCAGCAGATTGTTCAGCTTAGCAACAATTTAATACTTTGCAAACCACTGCATGTTTTAACTAAAAGAACCCAAACAGGAAGTTAGAAAACCCAGGGCATAGAAGGAAAGGTTCATAGAGTTGGGTAATTTTACGGTTTCTTCTGTCCCACCTACCATGTAACCCTTCTACTCAGTGTAAACTAATATCATTTCATATTACCCCACCAAAACTTGGGGTGACTTGGGGTGACTCTAACTGAAGTCACAGTGATATCTGTGTTGCCAATTCAAGGGGAAATTTTTAGTCTCTGTCTTAGTTAAATACTCAACATATATGCTTCTAGACACACTCTCCCCCACGGCTTCCATGCCTTCCTGCTTGATTTTCTCCCTCTTTTCTCTCTCTCCGTTGTAGGCTGGTCTTGCTCCTCCTAACCTTGAAGTATTAGATGTCCTCAAGGCTCATCCTATGTTTTGGTCCTCACTCTATATTCTTCCCTGCAGACCCTGCTTCTCCATCTCTTGGTTTGTTTTTATTCAAAGTGTTTTCATCCTGCTCATCAAAATCTTATGTTTAGCTTTGAAAATATGTCAGTGTTTAGGACACAGCCACAGGAATTTAGAGTTAATTGGTCTGGGTTAGGACCCAGGCCTCAACATAATTTTTTGGAAATGTCCCAGGTTGGTTCTAATGGACAGGAATAGTTGAGCTTCACTGACTTAAGGCATCCCATCCATGCCCACCATTTCAATTACTATCATTCTCCTGTAAGTCCCAAATTGATACCTTTCATAGAGATATCAGAATTCCAGGCCCAGGTATCCCTCAGCTTGGCTGATATATGCTCTTGAATAGCCCAAAGTCACTGCAAACCCAGATGCTCACAAGTGAAAATTAAATTCTTGCTCTTGCCTTTTTCACCATATCCCTGAAAACTACTCCCCTCTTCCAATGCTTCTTATGTCAATGAATGACATGACCATCAACCCAGCTACAAAAGTCAGAAACTGAGGCATCATTGTATAAACCACCTTTTTTGTCCTCATTCCCAAGGTCTAATATATCATCCAGATCTTTCTGTTTTATCTTCTAAACACACTTTTCTTTCTCTCTCTTCCTACCATTTCTAAGTTCAAGCTACTTCCATCTCTCACCTAAGATAATGCCCTCCTGATCAGTCCCCTTCAAATCCACTCTCCATATTTTGGGGGATCTTTTCAACAAGCTAATGGCATATAATGACTGAGAAACCTTTAAAGGCTTTCCTTTGTACTTAGAATAACTCACAAACGTGGCTCACTGGGTCTTGCACATCTGGTTCCTATCCATTTCTCAAGCCACATCCTCTTTTAGATTCCTATAGCTTTCTCAGCTATACCTTCACTGACCTTTCAGTTCATAAGATACACTATGCTGTCTTCTGCCACAGGGCCTTTGTGCATACAGCTCCCTCTGTTTGAAACTCATCTCTCCTCTTTTTGCCTACTTAGCTTTTACTCATTCTTCAGCTATTAGTTATCACTCCCTCAGAGAAGACTTTCTTGAGCTCCCAACCAGGAAAAATTGTCCCACTTATATTTATAGCATCATGCACTTCTTCATATGCAAATTAAAATTTTACATTAATTTGTGTGGAGAATTTTGATTAATTTGCATGGAGCATCTCTATCTCATGAGACTTTTTGCTTCATGGGGGCCAAGTCAAGGTTTGTTTTTTATTCAGAGTGTCTCTCCAGCACTTAGCAGAGACATGGCTTTTCATGTGGGAATGAATGACAAGACGCTTAACCAATTTTCTCATCTGTTAAGTGGAGATAACCATGCCTGCATTAACCATCTCACAATACCACTATCAAATCAAACATCTCTTTAAAATACTGCGAAGTGTCATTCCATTATTTATGATGACACTATACAAATGAAACCATGCAATAGAAATTCATGGAATAAAATTTCACCTAAGAGATCCCTAATGCATGCTCTGTGTAAGAGTCCAGTAAAGTGATACTTACACACTTGGGTTTAATGCTTCTGTCATAAATCGGGCCACCAAGGAGTAATAATCAAGTCCAGCATACAACTGGTTGAAAAATCTTGGATGGTCTGTAAATTTAAGCAGAGCATTCATCTACACAGCAATAGAAAAAAAAAAGACTCTCTATACAGCAGTAATATAAATCAATCTTTCAGACAGTGACTGCAGCCAGATACAAAGGAGTATATACCGTATGAGTTCACTTATATGACATTCAATATCAGGCAAAGCTGATCTATGGAAACTGAGGTTAGAATTGGGAAGGTGATATTCACTAGGATGGGGCTTGAGGAAGGCTCTGGAGTGCTGGGAAGGGTCTATATCTTGATATGGGTGATGGTTACTCACTCATGGATATGTATACATTCATTGAGCTGAGCAGTGAAGATTTGTCCACTTTAATGAATGCAAATTATGCCTCTATCTTAAAAAGAATTTAAAATCTAATCATGCACAAGGGAAATAAATGTTGAAGACCCACCTCATAACCTTTTCTACTAAACAATAGCTTGCTTCTAAGTAACACTTGGGCATTCTCTTAAGAACTCTGGTTTATCTGTTCCCTTTTTTCTACAACCCAGATCCAAATCAGAACCCTTGAGAACTGGATTATTCAAACTACTTGTCTAGTATCAAAGCCTGCTACCTTTCTCTTCAGAAGCTATCAATATCAATTTCCCTATCTTTAAATGCATTTCACCCACCAACAAGGTTCACGTCGGGCTACCAGCAGTGAGTGGCCTTTTCGTTTTTCAGATTGGACCATTTTTCATAGCGCAACTGGCATTATGTAGATGGAGTAAGATGTGACTCATCATGCAGCTTACATAAACTTTCTAATTCAACTTACTTCAAAGGCAGTAGCCTTTAAGACTCAACTTCAGTTCCAACTTTCTATTTTTTTCCCCCTCCTATAAAAGGTCTCATAAAGGTTCTTGGCTTTACACAGTGTGAATATTCACACCAAACACCAGGCTAACTGACTTGACATTCTCAATCATAGGAAGCCCAGCATGACAAAGAACAAAGAAGCAGGAGGTCTGTTTCTAAATTTGAGTATTTGAGAACCTTTTTAGTTAGTGACTTCTCATTGCAACGTACAACATTTGGTTTTAGCGTTTTTTTCTCTTTAAACTAGAGGCCCCATAAAAAAAACAGAAATCCAAGAGAATGTTTTTTTAAATGAAATATGGAAAACTTCCCCTAATCTGGCAAAGGAAACCAGACATTGCTACAAGTAATTTTAATAAGATTTTTTTTTAGTTCCGTGTTAATTTATGATTGATTTCCATGGTAACATTATGGAAAATATCCAGTAAACTGAAAAATCTACTGCATTAAATGTCATTCTACACTTCTGACATGCACCATAATAATAAGATATGTATCTCTGCTTTTGAAATGCTAACTGGGTTTTTGATACATACACCAGACTTTCCCAAGGGAATATAAACCAATTATTTTTAGCCAGGATTTTATTATGCTTTTCCACTAAATTTAGTTCAGTGTCAGAATTCACAAAGCATAATGCCTGCATGGTCTTAAGCACTAGATTACCTTTACAGCACACTGCGAAATGCATATTTTGGAAAGTTGCTTCCTTAGTTCTGGAACTTGTTCACTGGGTGCATAGATATTAATGGTTGGAATAGTATGTCAGCACAAGACTAATACCACACTACCATGCTACTGCATTTACAAACGATCATAGTGGTTAAGCAGTATTGTGAAGCTATCACAGCAAAAACTCCCTATGTGTTCATTTTTTTTTACACCTTCCTAAAGTTTTTCATTTCTGATCCTGCTAGATTTGATCAAATAATTCAGCAATTACCAACTGCCAAGACTTCATTAGTATCTTTCCAATCTATTCCTGTTTATAGTAAAGACACCCTCCAGCACATATTTTGCATGTTCTGAGCCATCAAAATTTAAAGTCCCTTAACAAATTCTATAATCAAACTATCCTTTGCCAGTGTGCACCAACATAAGCAAAGATAAGTAGCAGCCATAATATATGGTCTTGATTATAAATGGAGGATAGAGGATTGCCAAGGAGTAGATAATATTTCTGTATGATGACTAATACCAACAGTTTTTTCTATCCATTTATCTTTGGCCTTGACAAAAATCTGTATTAAGGATTAAGTAGCCCATTGTAAAAATATCAGAACCACTATTTTTTTTATCCCAGAACACTGGGATTCACTTTCTTATCCCAGAAACACTGCCATACTAAGCTTTACTATGAGGTAAATACGTGCTTAAGAAAATATAAGAACTTGTTAGGGGCACAGATCAAGGAGGCAAATGAAAGGTCTTACTAGTTTTGACGCTGTAGCGTATGACATCCTGGCAGAGCTCCAACAGCCTGTGGTGTGGCTCTCCTGTGTCCCTCATCTCCAAATCAAGAAGTTGTTTCAGCTGTTCAGGGGGCCGCCACTCACAAACCTGGACATTCAGCAATGGTAGTTAATTGAGCTCCCACTGGAGCCAGGCATCGAGAGGATGTTAGCATCATGGACCCTACCCTCACGAAGCTTCCAGAGAAGTGGGAGAGACCTAGATTTAAATATACAACCATAGTCCAGTGTGAAAACGCTGTGATGGTGACCCAGATGTCATTATAACAAATGAGGGGCCCCATCTTCAATTTGGAAGGTCAAAGATTTCCTGGAGAAACTGATTTCTAACCAAGGCAAGATTAGGGGATGGAGGAAGGTAAGGGGCACTCTAGGTGGAATTAATAGAAGTTGTAAAGGCTGAAATATAAGGGCACATCTGAAGAATGGATTTAGTTTGGTGTAGTTAGAACATGGGATTGGTGGAAGGAGAGGCAAGAAGGGAAGCTGGAATGCCAAAATAACTTTCTAGCTAGTCTCTCTGCTTATACCTTTACCTTTGTCCCATACAGTCTATCAACCTGGCACCCAGAATCCAGAATGATACCCTAAGCCATGGCTGTACCTCTGCTAAGATATTTCAATGGCTCATTTCCTTCAAAGTAAAGCCAAAGTCCTAACAATGACTTCAGATGATTCTGTATAATTTGCTTCCCTTCATGGTGTTTCCTCCTGAGTCTAGCACTGCTTTCCTCTTGGCTGACTCTGCCCCGCCACCCTGACCTCTTTGTTGTTCCTTAAACACATCAGGTACACTCTCCTTTAGAGTCTTCAAACTGGCTGTGCCTTCTGCCTGGATGCTCCTACCCCAAATGTCCTCATGGCTAATCTCCTCGGTTCTTTCAAAGCTTTGCTCAAAAATCACTTTCTCAATGACAGCAATCTGATTCCCTTACTTAAAATCACAAGCTTCACATTACCCCACCCTTATCAGCCCCCTTAACTTTTCCTGCTCTCTCTTTCTCCATAGCACTTATCATCTTTCAACATACCATGTAACTCATTTATTGTGTCCCACATAGTCTCCATGAGAGCAGAGCTGTCCATCTGTTTGCTCACTGCTCCCAAGTAACTAACATAGTGCCTACCACACAAGAGGTGCTCCACAAAGATGTGATGAATGAAAGGATGAATGAATGATTGAGAGAAATGAGACCTGGATCATGACGAATTTTCCGTGGCATGTTACAAAATTTGAACTTGGCTCTAAGGCAGCCATTGAAATGTTTTGGACAGGGGAGTGATATGAACATCTTTGTGCTTTGGACAATAGCTTTAGTTGCTATATGGAGATTCCAAGTAAAACTGAGAGTAAGAGGTGACTAATAAACCAAGCAGAGGGTAGTATTCTGGATAAGGTAGATACAATTGGGATGAAGTACTTCCAGAGATATTTCAAATGCACAAATCAGAAATCAATTACACAGTAAAGATGAGGGAGAGGGACGAGCCAAGGACAACTCTGAGGTCTGTAGCTTACACATGTAGGCTGATGGTGGCAATGAGGAAACAAATCTTGTTGGGGTGGGGCAGGGATGATGAGTTTGGGGCATATATAGTCTGAGGCCTCTCAGGACATCAAAAAGGGGTTCAGATGTTGGTATGAAGCTCTTGTGAAAAACCAAGAACAGAGTTCCAGACACACACCATGATAATAACATAGAGAGAATCTATTCCCTAAGATAAAAGGCACAGGATCTCACCTGGGTACCATCAACACTTAAGAAAGATATAGGAAAGGGGAGAGGAGCTCACTTGTGAGGTAGAGGACATGCCAGAGAAGGATGGACAATCTGAGACAAGTTCAGTGCAACCAAAACAAGGGAGAAAGAAGGTTTTAAGGAGAAGATGGTCATCACTCTCAAATCCTACTGAGAAGCCAAGTTGGATAAAGACTGAGAAGTGCTCATGAGATTTATCAACAAGGAGGTGTTCTTGGCAAGAGCAATTTGACTTAGAGAGGTGGGAGAGGAGGCCAGATTGCCACGGAGTGAGGGTGTGGGAGGTGAGGAATGAGAGGGAGGGAGGGAGCATAGACAATCTTTAAAAAGTTCGACTGTGGAGGGGAGGAGAGAGACAGGGGAGTAGCCAGGAAGTCAGGAGACTAAGGAGGTGGGAGGTTGGGGGAAAGCAGGAAGAAATACTGAGTTGTACAAGAGAGATGAAATTAAACTCTGAAGTGGGAACCATAATAGGCAGAGGGGAATCAAAAGTGACTGAGACCATTGAAAAGAATGGCTCCTGATGCAAGCATATCTCAGAGATACTGCAAGTGTGGTTCAGACCATCTCAATAGAGCAAATATTGAAATCAAGTGGGTCAAACCAAGATTTTGGTTTCCCAGTGCATATAAAAGTTATGTTGACACTGTGCCATATAGTCTAGTAAGTGTGCAATAGCGTTGGGTCTAAGAAATGTACACACCTGAATTAAAAAATACTTGTTGAGGGAGGTCATCGAGAAGAGGTGACCACCAGATGACCCACGAGCTGGACCCAAGTACTTGGAGGCTCCTCACCCCCTCCCCAGTCTTTGGAATGTGGGTTCTGACTGCCTTTCCTGCTGCTAGAGGTGTCTCCAAGGACTCGGCCTTGACTTAATGAGGTGGTATTCGAAACTGTTGTATAGTATATTTAATTAAGCTCAGTTAAGGCCTCTATCTATATCTAACTATCCATCCATCTAACTACCTATCTATTTATCTATCAAAACTTTTAAGGTTTGGCAGGCAGGTGTAAGGGTCCACTCATCTTGCTGCCATCCAACACACGTCTCCTTTGTACGTTTCCTTTGCTCATTAAAACTGCCACCTGCCAACCTGGAGCAGCCTATTTATTTCTTTGGTCTCCCTCTGCTCTCTGCCAGGAGCCAGTTTCAGATTTCACCCAGGAAATTCCTGAGGAGATTATGAATCAACACTAAGTTATTGCTTTAAAAATTTTTTTAAATTAAAAAATAAAAAAGCAAACCATCATCTGAGATTTCAGTGAGTTGTAATATTTTTGCTGGTGGAGGGTCTTGCCTCCATGTTGATGGCTGTGGACTGATAGATAATGTGGTGGTTGCTGAAGGTTGGGGTGGCTGGGACAATTTCTTAAAATAAATAAAGTTGGCTGCTTTAATTGACTCTTCCTTTCATGAGCAATTTCTCTGTAACATGTGAAGCTATTTGATAGCATTTCACCCACAGTAGGACTTCTTTCAAAATCAAAGTCAATCTTCTCAAACCCTACTGCCTTTTTGCCAACTAAGTTTATGTGCTATTCTAAATCCTCTGCTGTCATTTCAACAGTCTTAAGGGTATCTGTATCAGGAGTAGATTCCATCTCAAGAAACCTTTTTCTTTGCTTATCCATCAGAAGCAACTCCTCATCCATTCAAGTTATATCATGAAATCTCAGAAATGTACTCCCATCTTCAGGCCCCACTTCTAATTCTAGTTTTCCTGCTATTTCCACCACATCCACAGTCACTTCCTCCACCAAAATCTTGAACCCTCAAAGTCATCCGTAATAGTTGGAATCAACTTCTTCCAGACTCCTATTAATGTTGATATTTTGACTTCTTCCTATGTATCACAAATGTTATTTATGGCATCAGGAATGGTAAATCCTTTCCAAAATGGTTTCAATTTACTTTGCCTAGATCCATCAGAAAAATGACTATCTATGGCAGCTATAACATTACAAAATATATTTCTTAAATGATAAGACCTGAGAGTTGAAATTACTCCTTGATCCATGGGCTGCAGAATAGATGCTGTTAGCAGCCATGGAATCCTTAATCTTGTGCATCTCTACAGAGAGAGCTCTTGAGTGACAATGTGAATTGTCAATAAGCAGTAATATTTTGCAAGGAATCTTCTTTTTCTGAGTAGTAGGTCTCAACTGTGGGCCTAAAATATTCAGTAAACCATGTTTTAAACAGATGTTCGGTCATCCAGGATTTATTTTTCCATCTACAGAGCATAGGTAGAGTAGATTTAGCATCATACTTAAGGACCCTTGGGTTTTTGGAATGGTCTATGAGCACTGGCCTCAGCTTCAGGTTAGCAGCTGCACTAGCCCCTAACTAGAGAGTCAGCCTGTCAAAGCTTTGAAGCCAGGCATTGGCCTCACCTCTCTAGCTTTGAAAGTCCTAGGTAGCATCTTCTTCCAAAAGAAGGATATTCCACCTACATTGAGACATCCATTGTTTAGAGTAGGTTTTCTGGATAACTTGCTGGAACTTCCACATCAGCTCTTGCTGCTTCACCCTGAACTTTTATGTTATAGAGATAGCTTTTTCCCCTACACCTCATGAACCCACCTCTGCTAACTTCAAACTTTTCTTCTGTAGCTTCCTCACCTCTCTCAGCCTTCCTAGAGTAGAGGAAAGAGAGGAGGGCCTTGCTCTGGATGAGGCTCTGGCTTAAGGGAATGTTGTGACTGGTTTGACTTTCTATCCAGACCATTAAACCTCTCTCCAGATCAGCAATAAGGCTGTTTGACTTTCTCATCATTCATGTGTTGACTGGAGTAGCACTTTTAATTTCCTTCCAGAACTTTTCTTTTTGTAGTCAAAAAATGGCTGACTCTTTGGGACAAAAGGCCTACCTTTTGGCCTCTCTTGGCTTTCAAAATGTCTTCCTCACTCCTAGCTTTTGATTTAAGTTGAAATTAATCCTTTCAGATGAACACTTAGAGGGCATTTCAAGGTTCTTCCCTGGCCTTATTTCAACGTTGTCATGTCTCTAGATAGAGAGACCCGAGGAGAGGGGGAGAGATAGGAGAACTGCCAGTGGATAGAAATAGTCAGGACATAAACAACATTATCAGTAAGTTCACTGTCTTCTATGAATGTGGTTCGTGGTCCCTCAAAACAATTCCAATAGTAACATCAGAGATCCCTGATTATAACAAGCCATAAAATATTGTTATATATTATAATATGATGTTATAATATATACTATGTTATATAATATGTTATAGAACAAGTACAGTAATAATGAAAAAGTTTGAAATATTGTGAGAATTAACCATATGTGACACAGAAACACAAAGTGATCAAATGCTATTGAAAAAAAGGAACTGATAAACTTGCTGGATGCAGGGAGTATACAAACCTCCAAATTGTAAAAAACATAATATTTGCAAAGTGCAATGAAGTAAAATGCAGTAAAAAAAAATCCCTATCTATACAATGACATGATCAAATCTCAGATCCATTTTGCTGAGAGAAAACTGCAAGACTCAAAAAGACAATTGTCATAGAATTCCACCTGTCTGGCATTCCGGAAAAGGCAAAAAATACAGGCACAGAAGACAGATCAGTGGCTGTCAGGGGCTAAGGCAAGGGGCAGGGTTGACTATAGAGGGGCACAGGGACATCTGAGGGGTGATGGAACTGCTCTATATCTTGATTGTGGTGTAGTTATTACATGACTTATCAAACTCGTATAACTACATGCCAAAAAAGGGAACAAATTTTACCTAATGCAAATTATAACTCAGGTTTTTGAAAAAAGGTGGCTGAGAAAGAATGTCTACAAGAGAAGGAACTAGAAGAAATCAACTCACAAGGTGTGGGGATGGATCTACCTGAAGGTCACCTTTGAAAGGTGCCCTGTTGGATCTCTAACAAAGTCAGACTAAGTGACATAAAAACTCCCACCTCCTTCCCCCAACCCTAACAGAGTTTTCAACCCACCTTCACTTGGAGAGCCTGCATGGCTATACCATTGCAATCAACATGTGCTTCCTTAATTAATAACTTAGGATCCTAAGCTTCCCCTTCTTGTCTTACCTTCCATTAGTCACCTATATAACCCCTTTTTTTGAGGGAGAAAGTTCCCTTCTGCAATGATCTTTCTATTCCTTACCTTCCTGCTTTCTTCAACATACATGGGTTGACTTCTCACTGCCCATCAAAATCTTACTTGACCTTCACATCCCACATCAAAGCTCAGAGAGCCCACTCCTCTATGAAATCCCCCAAATCTGCCCCAATCACACACATTTATCACATGCCTGGGGACCCCCCATCTCTTTTCCAATGAAAACTTATCCTTCCAATTAGACTATAAATTCTGTTCAAAGCTGAGCCTTTATCTTACTTGTCTTTATATCCCCCAGGGCCAAATATAGTGGTTTACCCATAGCTAACACTCAGTTAATATTTAATGACTGAATAAAGGCCAATTACAAAAGAAAAAAAGCTTACCAGAAAAGCAGTGTGCTCCAAAGTAAAGCAGGTCCAAAATATTTCACAAGTACAGATAAGACCAGAAAATATGCAATTATAAATATATGATCAAGAAATACCATCAGTGATTTTTGCCTTGAATACGGCTATGCTAAGTTCACAGAACACTTCGATCTGTTTTCTTTCTTTTTTTTTTCGATCTGTTTTCTAATAGGTTTTCCCAAATGCATGCGATCAAAAATTCAGAATAAATACCTCTTCAGATTCAAAATCTTTTTGTTAAATGACATTTATTTTTGACCAACAGAATTGGAATCAAAATCCCTCCTATACGTCTACTTATTGATCGTTCAATTTCAATATGAAAGATAATCAATGTGATAAAGGATAATTTAGCGATTATAAGAGATATACAGAGGAGAAGTAAAAGGCCCAGACTGAAGCCAGACTGCTTGGATTTTAGTGCCAGCTCTGATATTTACTAACATGGGATATTGGGCAAAGTACTTGAACTGCTTGTGCCTCACTTCTTTCCTCATCCCTAAAATCGAGTAAACACAATACATGAATTCATAGGGAGTAGTCCTGAGAACATCACCTGGCACATAGAGAGTACTTTTAGGAGTAGAAGTAATTAGTAATAATTGCAATATCAGTTTGAATCTGAACTTGAGCCTGAATTTGAAACCTAGAACCAATAATTGGTGCCAGTCAGAAGTCAGACTTTACAATCCAAGATTTCCAGTCTAAACTCAAACCAGCTCCTAGGAAGGACCCTCAGATAAATTTGAAAACTTTTCATGGTCTTTTCCACATTCTGCTAGTTGTTTTACTAGTGATAGAAAGAATGTGCCCAAGAAAATGGAAAGCAGAGTATGTTTTAGAGAGTGTATATATTAGATCATCAGATTATTGATCACCTATACTGTTATAGGGCAGAAGGTTTTATCCCTGTGCTTCATGTCCAGAAGGCCTGGGGTCTCAGCCAGTTTCCCATCAAATGATGGCTTGTGAGGTTATAAGCCAAACCTTCCAGGAAAGCAGATACTGGGTGAGGGGTAGGGGGGCATACACTTTGGTAGCTGGGATCCCCTTGAAACAAAGGTATAGAGGCAATAATAACATGAGCTTCCTATCTCCCTTACATCTAACCATCAGATTGGAAAGAATTTATCTTTTCCATTCCAAGGATTTCTAATAGATATCTTTTTTTTTTTTTTTTACCTTCTCACTGACATCTGTAGCCTTCAAAACCACCTCTTCCATTATTAGCCTACAGGCATCTTCAACAAATTTTTCTCCTGCTCTTGCATCTGTTGTGGGGCCATTCAGTATAACCCCATCCACAAGAACAGCACTCCTCTTACTTGGAACCATCTCGCGTTGATGAGTATCTCCTGGAAGCACACAAACAAATCATGTTTGAGATGTAATCTAATTAGATCACGACAAAACACAAGGGGAAAAAATGGATCACTATCACAGCTTCAAATGGCATATCTTCTATTAATACTTCTTTGGGGCGTTGAAGCTGACAGGTTTTTTTTTTTATGGTTTCCAATAGCATAATAGAGTTAAGGACAGAAATTCTATTCTCCATTCCTACAGCATCTTGTTCAGCATCAAGGAGTGTGGAGAAGCTCAAGAAAAGTAAACTCAACTCATTTTGTTCACTCTCGCAAACACCTTTGAAACACATGTACACAGAGATTGCTGTAGACACAAGCCCATGTCTATTTTGTGCACACACACTCTTTTGTAATTTGTTAAGGATTGCCATGTATCCTCTTTGTGGGAATAAGTCATTCCTAAGGAAGAAAATATTATTGACATATCACCTCTCCTAATTTTGCATTTGAAGCCCATGTTTAAATGACCCTCTATATTAAAGACACTGCTTTGTCCCTGAGTGCCCCTCCTTCCACGTACTCAGCCACTTCCTTATGAAGGGAGAATATAAGAAAGTGAGTCACATAATGGTTGGTGTAAACCCACACTTGATGCCCTTAAACTTTTCAAACTTGCAGTTTGGGCACAGACAGAAAGATGGAATAGAACATTTTCAGGACTGTACAATTGCCAGGCAATAACTAAAGGTTAAAAGTCAACATGGAAATCTATATCTGAGAATAAAGGTTACTGCCTACCCAAAATAGCCCGCCCCAAAAATAATTCTGGCAACTTAATCGAAATATTCCACCAATATCTGCCACAAGCTTTGACTGGATTTTATTCTTTCTCTAATCAGTCTCTCTCTCTCCTCCCTGTGAGGCGCATGCTCACTGAGTTGTGGAAATTTACAGAAACAGTTTTTAAAAACAATCCTTCAGCACCACACCCAGCACAATGCTTTATTTATACTTTTAAATCTACCTTAAATATGTTGATGGTAAATATACATTTCAAATATTTTTATACTTACCCAGGGCTCCAACACTATAGACATTTATTATGCCCTAAAGTCTTCCTTTTCCTCAAAGTACTATGTTTTGATAAAATTCTGTGCCTTTATAAACCCTTTACTTCTATTACTGGCAAACTCAAATGGTGTCCATGGAGGCAGACAAAAATGGCACAGATTCCCCAATTTGGGAAAGATGGGGTCTGCAGTGAAAGATCAATCTTTTATCCTCACCCTGAAGGCTGAACCATCCAGTGCTCCAATGATGAATTTTAGTTCCAGCTTTCACTTTTACTTATTTTTCACTTGAAAGGATGTATTCAACATGCTTTAGGGACAAATGGTGAAGCCCTGGAATTGAGCTGTACACCTAAAGGCACATTCCTCCCCCAAATTTTAGGTCCTAAAAATAAACTGGAAAAGAGGGCGATTATTCAGGGAACCCTGGTTATGTCAGTAGGCAGTGCTATTATTAGGCACACAGAAAAAGTTAGGTTTTTTTAACCTCATTAGTAGGATTTCAGGTTTTTATTGTTCAGGGAATTGCAGCCACTCTATAGCTCTCTCAGAATCTCTCTCTCTCTCTCTCTCTCTCTCTCTCTCCCCCCCCCCTCTCTCTCTCACACACACACACACACACACACTAAAAAATGTCAAACACCCACTTGCAACCAGAAAAGCAGTGAAATTGAAATTTAAGTCATCTTTGTCCCCACAGCAATCAATTTAAGAAATTCTATATTTCATGCAATTATCTACGAGAAAATACAATTAAAAAACTATAAAGAATTGGATATAGATTATGCCCTTTTTCTTGATAGATACATTCTATTTCTATTGCCAGAGGCGAAAATGTGCCTCTTCCTCCACCTGCCTTTTCCCAGGTTGGAAAAGACCCCTGGAGTTTGTATAGGTCAAACTGATCTTTTGAGATGCATACTCAGAACTTCCAACCTAACTCACAGAGTATATGGTAGTTAATAATGAAGTCTTTCAATGGGAAGAATCTTTTATGAAGGATATATCCAGAATCTGACTGTTTTTCATTGCCCCCTCTCCTGCCACCTTAGCGTAAACCACCATAAATGCTTGGATCAGTGCAGTGGCCTCCCAATTAACATCCCCCCTTTCCCCCAAATGGCTCTCACCCTTGTTCTGCAGGGTGTGTGGACTATGCTCAACATAGTAGCTTGAAGAGAAAAGTCAGTTCACAAGATGACTTAAACCTTCCAATGGATCTTTATCTCATCAAACAAAAAATCAAAGTCATAATGAGCTCTAAGGCTAAATGATCTCCTGTCTCCATCATCTATTGGACTTCAAACCTCACCTCTTCTTATTGTGCTCCAAGCTCACCGAATTCCACCAAATTTGGCCTCTTCACTATTCTTCACTCTTTCCTTAAATGTGAGCTTCTCAAAGAGGCCTTCCTTGATAACCATATTACAAACTGTAGCACCTTCTCACCCCATCTTCTTTCTCTGCTTTATTTGACTCAAAATCAGTGACCACCAGGTGACAGATAACATATACTCATCCATTTACTTGTCTAAGTATCTGTATCTCCAACAGAGGCTTGGCTCTCTAAGAGTGTAAGCTTGCATCTGTTGGTTCCACTTTTGTTTCTGTAGCACCCAGAAAGTGCCTGGCAGTTTATAGGAGCTTGACAAACATTTGTTGACCACTAAATACAAGTAGTCCTGCCTGGTCCTTCAACCAACTAGTAATAATGTCCTCCTTCTCTGATATGTCATTGCCTGTTGCCTGACCTAACCTAGCAAGAGACACCTTTGGCTAGGGATGGGGTAGATGTAGAATACACTTTATACAACTCCTGGCCTAGAGAAGACACAGTAGGGGCCAGAAGAAGAACCAGGGAGCAGGGTCAACAGGCAAAACTGAGTTGTGATCTATGGACTGTGAAAGGATACCACTAATAGAGACCTCCCCTCTTCTCTTTTCTCCATACTTTGTGCTGCAGCCACTCTCTTTCCATGCTCTGTCCTTCTCTTTCTTGTAGGCTTTTGACTTCTGAAAGTCCATCAAGTCTCACCCTATGAACCATGCTTCTAAATGTGAAAAGCAGTCAACCTCTAAACTCTCTAACTTCTGGATTTCCACCAGCTCCTCAATCTCAGGCCTTCTGATGCTCTATATAAGCTCAACTTTTGCTTTGTTTAAAGAGATGTACAGATTTCCCTTTTGAACAAACAATAAATTCAACTTCAAATAGTGTTTTGGATATTTGGCCCTTCCTTTGACACAGGATTAAGTGAATTAACAGAGACAAAGACAGCAGTGCCTGCTACATAGTGAGCACTCAATAAACGCCATTAATACTAGCCAACTCAATAAATTTTAGTTGCCAGTAATAGGCAATCAGTAACACTTATTGAATACACAAGTGTGGAATGCCTGGATTCCACACTTGTGTGGAATCAGTGACTGAGGATCTCCCTTCAGCTCAGGGCGTGATCCCAGAGTCCTAGGATCAAGCCCTGCATCAGGCTCCCTGCAGGGAGCTTGCTTCTCTCTCTGCTTATGTCTCTGCCTCTCTGGGTCTCTCATGAATAAATAATAAATAAAGTCTTTTTAAAAATGCATAAGTGCATAGAACATAAGTGAATCTCCATGTGATAGTAAGCTACCAGAGTAGAAAGTGGTCACATGGCCAAGATAATGAACTCTAGACAAGGGGCCAGTGAGTTACCCCTTGTGGAAGAGTAGAAAGAGGGGCCACAGTGTAGGGGATTGCCTCTGTGATGAGAGCAGAACTTCCCGCCATGATGTTCCTGCCACAAGATGGCAGTCAATAGTTCAGCCCCTCCCGCATGGGCAGCTTTCCAGAGCTCAACATTTACATCAATACAAGACACGTATACACGCTATGTGGCAGGCTCTGTTCTCGAAGTTTTATAGATTTAACAAGTTTGTTTGTCACAAAAACTCCAGTGACTCAGTGTTATAGCTGAGGAAACTAAGACAGACAGGGTTGAACTGGCTTGCCCAATGTCACGAAGCTAGTAGGTAGTGAAACCAGAGTAAATAACATTGAAGTTCTATGAAAGAGCAGTAAGATGCTGCTTTGCAAGCATCTACAGTTTGTAAGGCTATATTAGGGAGGTAATAATGAAAGCAAGATGAAGTAGAGTCAGTTCCTGTCCTTGCAATGGACAGCCTCAGAGTACTGAATAACCACACACTACAAGATAGTAGGTGCCAAGTGCTATGAGAAGGACACTAAAGAGAAGTTTTGTTTTGAACATAAACAGTGCAGACATTTGAGGTTAAGGTTTAGGGTTATAGGAGAAATTAAGGTATAAGAGGAAACTTTTCAATTAGAGGATTTGTCTTCTCTTTGAATATCTGCAGTAATTAATAATAATTTTAAAACTTTGTCACTTAAAGTACCACTCCACTGACAGCTGGAATGGTCACAAACATTTTTCTTATAGTGACTTCAAATGTGCATCGTGTCATTTCCACAGGCTTTTGCAGTAAGTAGGTAGACAAAGTGAGTCTCGTTTATCTTCCATAGAACTCTAAGCCAAATATAGAATGACTTCTATCACTCTCCTCTCTCTCCCTCTCTCCCTCTCTCTCCCTCTCTCTCCCTCTCTCTCTTTGCTAGTTAACTGCTCCAGTTTGTTCATTTGTGTCTGAGTAACCCATGGTCACTAGTCTGGGTCAGTTTATTTCTATCTTATAAAATGAGGCCTAGTACAAAACTCCAGGTGTGGTATCCCCAGCACTAAATAGAATGAATTCATATCTCCTGTGCTCTGGTCACCATGATTCCATTAACAAGGTTTCCATTAGCAGTTTGTCACAAAGCTTAAGCTTTGAAATCAGGTAGATCCTGGCCCAAATTCTAATTGTGCTTCTGTGACTTCATCCATGTTATTGAATTCCCATGTGATTTGGATTTCTTACCTGACAAAGGGGGAAAATAGCCATGTCCATTTTATTGAGTCATTGGAAGGGTTAAATGTGGCAAAGCATGCAAGCTGCTGAGCAAAGTGCCAGGAAGGGAGTAAAGTGAACAATAAGTAGTAACTATTAATGTGACTGAGTCTACATGAACTCTCTTTTGGCACCCATATTACGTTGTTGGCTCACGTAAAGGCTAGAATTAATAGCCTTAGGTCTTTGTCAGAAAGTTCGCCAGGTAGAGGCAAGTGTCCCATCCAAGACTTTAATTGTTAAGAACAAAATTACCCATAGGAAAATAATCCTTGCTGCAAACAATAGGAAGGAGGAACAATAAAAAAAAAATGAATCCAGGCATCTAGGTGGGAACCAAGGAACTCTTCAGAAAACTTGTGCAAAGGACATTGAGGATCAAGGGAGTTCTGAGGGTCAGGACTTGGTAAGCCCAGCAAATCAGTCCAAGATAGGCATGAGAATCAAAGCCTGAAAAAGAGGATAGCATTAATTAATAAATTAAAAAAGGACTACTATGTGCCAAGCACCCAACCTGATGCCTGGGGATATAGACATAAACAACACAGAGTCTCTGTTCTCAATTTGCTAAACATCCAGAAAGAGAATAATTAGGGAAATAGAGTGAAAGAAAATACAGTTGAAAGTTGAAGAGACACCCCTCTGTTCTGAAGTTATCTATGTCAGATGTCTCATCTAACCTCTAAAGAGTGGATACCTAATTTAGTTTATATACCTGGCTAGTACTCCAGGCTCTTAAATTGTTTGCATCCCTTTCAAATTTCACACCATTTTTAAGCCATTTTGCTACTCAAACAATGTATCAATGAGAGGGTAACTTTGTTACCCTTTGTTGTCTATAGGACAACCTACAAGGAAGAAGACTATAAGAAATAAACAAAGAGTAAGAAATAATAACAATACATAGCAGTGGCAGAAAAACCTCTGAAGATTTGGATAATAGTAACAAATGCAGGGATTTAGATTCTCAATCTACCTCTGTGATTCTGTAGAATCAAAAAGGTTACTTAGAGATTGAATAATTCCCATGGTGCAACCCACTTGTAGGAGTAAAAGACAAAACTATGCTTCAATTTTAGTCAGCTAAAGATGGGTATCCATTGGCAAAAGGAAAGGAAGGAAGGAAGGAAGGAAGGAAGGAAGGAAGGAAGAAAGGAAAGAAGGAAGGAAGGAAAAGAAAGAAAATGAAGAGGGAAAGAAAGGAAGAGAGGGAGAAAGAAATAGAAAGGAAGAAAGGAAAAAAGGAAAAGAACATTTATATCATTGGTCAAGTCATATTTGAGGAATAAGTTCTCCTTAGTTGGAATCCACAGCGAGTTGCTACTTCTTCTAATTATACTTTCTGAACTATTTATTGAAAACGGTGTGCAAAACATTGGGATGGGCACTGTGGAGACTCAAAGATGAATCAGACACATAGCTGGTGACCTCAAAATCTAATGAGGAAAATT